TATAATAGATAATGTGAAATAGGATGAAAAGGGGCAAAGGAGAAGAGGAAGAGGGATGGGTAGGGGAAAGGAAAGAAGGGAATGGAATTAATATGAGAAAATGAAAAAATGGAAACAAAGTCTCTGTAAATAGGGAGGGATGGAGGGGTTGAAGGGAGGGAAGGGGAATGGGGAAAAAATAAGAACCAAGAGAAATTATGTAAAGGTGCCAATCTCCAATGATGAATGTCACCATATTATATACCTAAAATGTAACAACAAAATTAATAAAATTTAAAAAAATAAATGGAGGCATAGCATTATGAACAATGTGGGCACATTTTTTCCTATGGTTGTTATTTCCCCCACAATTTATGCTATTTTCCCTATCTGTGTCCCCTAGGGCCTGAGACCTAGCTGAAGTGCAGTTCCATTCTAAGATGTATTTAGAAATAAATTATTTTTGAAAGACCCTGACACATTCACTGTTCATGTAGTTAATCTGTAAAGAAAACTGCCACTTACTCGTGATTAGGGGTTGGGAACTGTAGCCACAGGGATGGCCTCTGTCCCTAATCTTTTGCAAGGCACCCCACCTGGCCCTCATCTTTGCTTCCAGGAAATGGGAAATGAGCAAATAGTTTCATTAGCCTGGAAAGGCAGGAAGGAGAAGTCATGCATGCTTGTGGTAAAACCAAACTATGGCTAAAAATAACTTGATAAACCCAGGAGCACATGAGGGGCCCAATACAGACAGTCTGGCCAGAAGGAGAAGAATGACCAGTGGCTCTTAAGTCCCCACAGTAGGCAGACTTTGGGGCAAGGCCAGGAGGGGATGGGTTCTTCTGTGTGTTTCCCGTGGGCTCTGGCAGGTGGCTGGAAGTTTAGGGCTGCTGGCATGTGTCAGGCAGCCCACATCACCCAGGATGCTGGTAATGGGCACACTGCAGTCCAGTTTGGCTGCTGCCTGCTAAGCACTCCTGCAGTTAGAGATGTCTGCAAAATGAGACATTGCTAAGCAGAGGGGGCTTGAGCACCAAATATAACAGGTGCTCCTGGATCAGCTTCTGGTTTAAAAAAGCCAGCTGCAAAGGATATTCCAGAGATAAACTGGGAAATTTAAAAAATGAGACCAGAGATGACAAGTTAGACTTGTTAACTGAAAGAAAGTAGGCTGCAGAACTCTTGTACAGTGCAATAATGTTTGTGTGTGTGCATTGTACATGTGTGTGTCACCAAGAAGTAGTCCTGGAAGTGTTAACAGTAGTAGGAATGCGATTTAATTTTCTTAGTTTTGTTTACCTTATTTTATAATTTTCTATAATTTCCTTTATATTAGCAAATGTTTATTTTATTATTATTATTTATTTAGTTTTGGTACCAGGAATTGAACTCAGGGCCTTGTGCTTGCTAGGCAGGTGCTGTGCTGCTGAGCTATATCCCCAGCCCGCAAATGTTTATTTTTAAAATAGCACTAATAAAGAAAAAAATATGAATCTACCTAGACCATTGGTCAACTTACAGTGAAGAAGGCATGCATCTCATGAAGGCTGGCATCATCTCTGATCCTCGGACTCTAAACTGAGCCTGGGCCTTGAGCCTCAGGGTAGGGAGAGAAATCCCAAGTGCTGTTTCCCTAGGGGAGCCCTTGGCTCTTTCCACAGGAGCCCTGCTTAGTGGGCTGAGGTGAGGGGTTGGTGAGAACAAGGACTTTGTTATAGCTGCATGTTCATGTTCATGTCCCTCCAAAATGTGTATGTTGAAACTTTATCCTCAGGTGACGGTATTCAGAAGTAGGGTTCTTAGGAAGTGATTGTATCCTCATGACTGGCATTATTACCCTTATAAAAGGAGCGCCAGAGAGCTCTCCTGCTCCGTCTGTCATGTGGGTATTTGGAGCACTTGTCCACTTATTAGCTATGGGTGAAATACTTGTTCCCCTCCTCAGGCCTCCATCTTATATCTGTAAGATGGCTCATGGCTACACAGACGACACCTACTGCCCTGTGAGTTGGTGAAAAGAACAAAGGCTTTGACAAGGCCTGGAACACATTAATGATGCATGCCAGCTCACGATACATCCTCTCAGGAAGGGGGAGGACAGCCTTTCCACAGAAAACCGGAGTGAGGAAAGAAGAGGCAGGCAATCAAGGGAGTAGCTCAGAGTTGGACGAAAGGAGGCCACCTCTGAAATTCCTGATCAGAACTCCCCACCTCTTGAGGAAGGCATTGAGGCTTAACTATCATGAAATTTTCTGCTCCAGTGTGAGCAAGAGTCAGGGAAGAGGCATGCCTCACTGAACACTATCAGTGGTGATGACATCAATGATGACAGTAGGAAAACCACAGTGCCTATTCTCCTGAGCAAGTGGAGCAACTCACCAGCTTTTCTAGCTCAATAATCTTCTTTTCCTGCTGGTGTATTTGCTGATTCTTCATCTCTAACACTTGCTTCAAACTCTTCATGTCTTCTTCCAAGTGCTGATAAGGAGCCAGTGCAACCTATAGGGGCAGAGAGTAACCTACTATTGCCAGGGTTCCCAGCAAAGCCAAGAATGGCCCAATGTTGTGAGTCCAGCTAAATTTGGCCTTCTGCAACCAGCTACTCAGCGGGCAGCTCCAGACCCAGTGAGACAGAGGATGCTCACCAAAACCTTGACAAGGTGTCCTGCTAGCTTACCGCTGAAGTCCCCTACAAATCCAACTCAAGGATGGAGAGTGGGGAATAAGGCATGGCCATATCCACTGGAAAGTCTAGAAGTGAGAACTGCTGGACACTGCCAGTGCGTCCCCAGAAGGGAGCTCGTGGGGTCAAGACAGGAAACCCAACACCAGCTTTTAACATTCTCCCTGATGATGTGATTCATCAGGAAGCTGGGGTCTCATGGGTCCCACCTGAGCCCATGAGAGGCCCTGCTCCCATGCATATGAGAAGAGCAAACTGGCTTAAAAAGCATAAAGTCACTAAAGAAAAAGGCATAGTAGAATAGTGTTGATGGATATAATCCATTAAAACACAGGATATCCATTAAATTTTGATATCAGATAAATAACATTACAATTTATTTTTAGTGAAAGTATTTAATTATGAGATACTTATCTTCAAATTTCTGTCTTTCTGTAATTCAAATTTAATGGAGTGTTGTGTATTTTATCTGGAAATGCTCCATTAAAGGGAAAGCGTTTTCCTAGTTTTTCTGGAAAAGCTCCCCCTTGCCCTACTTGTGTCCCATGCCAGCCTAAAGTGCAGTTGGGAGAACAGTATCGAGGGGTGACAATGGCCAGGACGACAAGTTTCCAGACTCTACATGTCATGGGAACTCAGGGAGCCTGTGTGGGGAGCATGGTGGGGTGTAGTCTAAGGAACAGGCTGATGGTCTGTCTCCGGAAAGAGGTGCTGATAGACAGTCTCAACACCCCGGGGAGGCTGTGGCCAGCCATCACTTCTCAGCAGGTCAGCATGAAGGCCTTGTTCTTGTGTAGGACTGAGGAGGAGGCCAAGGACCTTGCAGTTTAGGGAGCCTTGAAAGCTGTGACTACCTCCAGCTGCTCTTCTGTGTTTTTCCTCAAAGCCTCCTCAAAGCGCCGCGCTCGGTCCCGCAGAGACTGGCTCTGGAAGGTCAGTGTGTCCACCTGGTCCTGCAAGTAATGACACGAGATGTCCAGACTGGGCCATGACAGAAAGACACCTCGGTCTGTGAAGCCAGAGCAGGAGGACCTGCCACCTCACCCTGGAGCTCTTCAGCGGCGCTCGATGAGGCACCTGGGGCTTTGGGGCTTTGCCTCGAGCTCAACAAAGAGGGGTCGGGGGAGCCCCACATCCACATGATGGAGTGAGATGCCACTGGCTGACCCTTCTTGGTGCCTTGACTAGAACAGACACAAAAACATAAGATGAATTCTTAGGCTTGTGAACAGAGGGCATGTAACATCTGCTTTCCAGATGCAGATAGTCTGTAGAGAGAGGTACCCAGAAGGCAGCCAGTCCTGATTTTTGAAGGACCACAGTTCCTCTACCACAAAAATAATTGTTCTCAGATATAAAGATTAAGCCAGAAGGTTTCACATCAGCCTGGATTTCTTTCTCTGAGGCCCCTCCTATCACCAGCACCAAAACAAATGAGTCAATGATCAGTCAAGTCTTGCCAATTTGCCTGCTTCGCATTTCAGGAATCCACAGCCTCTCCCTCCCACTCCTACTCCCTTTTCCGGTTAAGAGCCTCTCCACTGGCTCCTTCCTGGCCTCCTACCCAGCACTACATGATTGCTCTTTTGCCTATAGGAAAGAATCAGTAGGAGCAGGGCATTGTCAATTCTGCATCTCTGCACAGTATTGCTGTGACACCTGAAGGTCAGCTGCCCTGCTTTCTTCATTCATTTGGCAGAGGCTCCTGATTTGCAAACCTTCTGGGGCAGGTTCCTTTTCCTGATTCTTTTTCTCCCAGTTACTTCCACTTCATTTTTAGGAAATAAAAGTCCCCACAGTGCTATTCAATGCAAATGCTGGTGTATGGAGCAATAGAGTTGTCAGTGGGGGTTTGTGTGCACAGCAGTCTAGAAATCATGGCCCAGAGCACCCCCACTGGGCCTGACTCAGGTCCACAGCACTCAGCAGTTACCTGCTACATTGTTAGTATAAAAATGCCCATGTCACTACCTGGCTTCCACACCATACCTCCTGAGTGTCGTTCAAGGAAATGTGTCTTTGAAACCCCTATCCCACAAAGCAAAGCAACAAAAATCTCATCAGGCAGTTACTACCCAGGATGGCTCTAAAATAGCAAGCTGAGGTTTTCTTGCCTTGTTTGCCATTATTTAAAACAAACCCACAGGGACAGAATGATGCTGCTGTAGTCAGACAGGACAGACTGCTTTTCAACTTCACTGGCTATTTTATGTCAGGCTAAGGGGCACAAAGACCCAGCTGATGGCCAGATCTGGTATAGGCCACTCAGAAATCGACAAATGGCAGATAATAATGATAATCATAAATGTAACAATTCTTGTAGCTATTGTAATAGCAATGGCTGCCACTTAGACTTACTAGCACTTTCCATAAGCCAGCCCAGGGCTATTAACTGCCCCGCTTCCTTCCTTCCTTCCTCCCTTCCTTCTTTTCTTTCTTTTCTTTCTTTCATACTGGGGATTGAACCCAGGGGTGCTCTACCACTGAGCTAAAGCCCCAGTCCTTTTTATTTTTAAGTTTGAGACAGGATCTCACTAAGCAGCTAGGCTGGCCTCAAACTTGTGATCTTCCTGCCTCAGCCTCCCAAGTGGCTAGGATTACAGTCATGTGCCACCCCACCTGAGTGCTATTTACTTTTGACACCTTCTTTCTCTTAATATGCTCTGTCTTGGGAAAAGTACTGTTATCATTCCCATTTCAAGGGTGAGTAAACTAAAGTTTATGGAGCCTATGCAACTGTCCAAGATCTCAAAGCTAAAAAGAGCAGCCACAGCAGGGATTTAAACTCATAGCTCAAATCTCTAAGTGCTCCAACTAGCTATTTTTTCCTGCTGTTAGTAACCCAAATAAGTTGATCTGAGCAAGTCCACCCTGACCTTGGGGCAAGTCTCCAGCCCCAATGGATTCTCCTGGGTAGAAAGTTATGATTAAAATATGCATTTGATGCTAGCAGCACAATGAAGACTCAGTGATGAAACAAAACTTTCACTTTTTCTTCCCTAAGGATTGGGTCCAGGGCCTCATGGATGTTAGGCAAGCTCTCTGCCACTGAGCTACCCTCCCAACCTCTAAAGAGTTTGAATAGTGCACTGGATGGCTGTGATATGGTGTACGCCACAATTCTGGATTCTCTTCTGGCAGGGCAGTCCTGTGTGATACATGCTGCCAGGGGAATGAGCCATCCTCAAAGAAGAAAGATCCCTTACTATATACTGTGGTTATGGTAATTTTCTTCCAGAATTTCCAGATATAATTGTTCTTAATATTTAAAAAACAATCTGGATACGATCAAAATTTCTATACTTGGAAACAAAACTGGGCCAGCCACCTCACCCTTGGTTCCAGGTGGCTCCTCCCTAGGCTTGGGGGCTGTCAGTGACCCAGGCCAACTGTTCTGGGTCTCTGGAGATCACGAACCCTGAGAGAACTTATATTCTTCTTGAAAGAGACCACTGGGAAGCTGGGCAGCTCTGCTAGCATCTGAGACCAACATTTTGTTTAGGTGGCAGTGAGAGACAACAAGAGCTAATGCCACTAATACTCAAACTCTTTAATGAAATTGAAAGAAAAGCAATACTCTCAAATTCTTTCCTAGAAGCAACCATTACTTTGATTCCAAAAGCTAAGAAAGACCCAACTGAAAAAGAGAATTACAGGCCAATCTCCCTAATGAACATAGATGCAAAAATCCTTAATAAGACACTCTTAAACAGAATGCAGAAGATCATCAAGAAGATCATACATTCTGACCAAGTGGGATTCAACCCAGGGATGCAAGGATGGTTCGACATATGTAAATCAATAAATATAATACACTATATTAACAGAGTCAAGGACAAAAACCATATGATCATCTCAATAGATGCAGAAAAAGCATTTGACAAAATCCAACACTCATTCATGATAAAAACGCTACAGAAAATTGGAATAGAAGGTCTTTATCTCAACCTGATAAAAGCCATCTATGAAAAACCAACAGCCAACATCATACTAAATGGTCAAAAACTGAAATCTTTCACACTAAAATCAGGAACAAAGCAAGGATGCCCACTATCAGCACTCCTGATCAATATAGTTCTGGAAACATTAGCCACAGGAATTAGACAAGTGAAAGAAATAAAAGAAATAAAGATAGAAAATGAAGAAGTTAAACTGGCATTATTTGCAGATGACATGATACTCTATATAGAAGACCCCAAGAACTCCACCAAAAGACGTCTAGACTTAATCAAATTCAGTAGAATATCTGGATACAAAGTCAACACTCAAAACATCAATAGCCTTCTTGTACAGGCTCACTGAGAGAGAAATTAGGGAAACAATTCCTTTCACAATAGCATCCAAAAAAGAGAAATATCTAGGAATCAATCTAACAAAGGAAGCAAAAGACCTCTACACTGAAAACTACAGCACACTCCTAATGTTTCTAAAGTGTGGTAAACACATTCTGACTTCACAACCTTCCTTGAATCACTTCCCTGCTAGGATGTTCTCTTCCTCACACCCTCCTCCTTCTCCAAACACAGCTCAGTTACTCTGCCAACATCTCTGATCATATCAAATGCTAAGAAACTCCCCTGAACTTCTGTAGTGTCCCTAACTGTATTCTTCATTTGACCTAAGTATGTGTTACTTTTTGCTGCTGTCTGCTCCTATTTGTGGCACAGCACTCTGGGTAGCCAGCCAATTCCTAAAGGGCCAAGAATATGTCTTATCTGCCTTTTTATTTAAGTGTTTTGTTCAGGATCAAGTATACAGTGGGTGCTGTATAAATCTTTGTGAGCAGGAATAATGATGTTCCTGAAGAAAACTAAAGAAAATCTAACCTGTAATGACAGTCGCAGTTTTTCAAAATTTTCTTCCAATTCTTTCTTTTCAAGTTCATGAGCAGACACCAATTCTAGAGAGAAGAATCAGACTGTTAGATTGGGGGCCAGGGATTTAGCTCAGGGGTTCTGCCACCTGCCTTGCAAGCGCAAGGTCCCGAGTTCAATCCTGAGTACTAAAAAAAAAAGCCAAAAAACAAACATAAAAGATTGTTAGGTTGGTCTTTTGAAAAGAATAAAACAAGACTAAATAGAATAAAAGTAGAATAAAAGAATAAAAGTAGTGACTTTAAATAAATACATAAATGATCCTGGCTATAGCAGACTCAAAGCTAAAGAGACTCCTCCAATAGTTTGAAATGGTATCTGATGATCAGGTTGTGACTTAGGAGAGAGCCAGAAAGAAGGGACTAAGAGAAAGGGAGAGATAAAGGGAAAGAAGAAAGAAATGAAGGAGGGAAGCCAACAGAACCCACAGGCACATCTGTGCATGCTCACACACACATGCTCACACACACATGCTCACCCATACACTGACAATTCTGCATCCTGCTGTACCACTCCCCTCCCTTATTTAGGTCCTTTGCTCATAGCACCCATTGATCCTCCTATTTTTCCTAATAGAAAAAACAATTGAGTAACTGATGTTCAATGCCCATTTATTCCCTCCCAGGACTTGTCTTCCCAGTGTGAAGCAGCCATCTGGCTGAGGAAAGACCTTACCAAGGAGAGTGGGTATGCGGTGAGCCACACTGCTAAGAATAAATGGGGGGGGGGTAGGATGCAGACCTACAAGGATACCTTTGGTGGCCACACTGAGAACTAAGATTGCTAGGATTTGCTGGAGCCAAGGTGTGGGGTGAAGACACTCAGACAGAAGGAAGAACTAATTGGACTGGTTCTTCTCAGAGGGTTTGGAACAATTCTGTTCTGTGAAAAGTGTCACCGCAGCAATAATTTGCAAGTTAGGCAGAAAGAAATGTCATGTAGCAGTTATTAAGCAAAAGGATTCTATTTTCTTCCAGATGGGAAGAGTTGTATTAACGTGGTGAAGCCCATCTCATTCTGGCTACACAAGCAATTTGTTGTCATGTTATAACTAGAGGGAGAAAAGGTCTCATTAATCAGCCCAGTTCATATGCTGAGAACAGGAGAGTGCTGGAGTCCAGCAATTACCATTTTGTCTGCATGAGACGCAGTTAGGAAAAAAAATTTGGTGGTTTTCATTGACCCAAAGCTTTTAACTAATGGTGGAAGGGTTGCTGAAAAAAATCTAGTTGTCATAGCTGAAATTTACATGTAAAAAAAGTTTGTGCTGATTTCATTGACATAAAACCAAGTGACTTCTGGCCTACCTGCCTCTGTGTAAATGATTAGTTTTAATAGACACTGAGAGCATCATCCTGACCATGGTAATGAATTTCTTTAAGCTCTTATTACATATAACCACATTGTCTTGATATTATATACAATTCAAAGGCCTTGTATGTGGTGCCTAAGTAAGACTTTTTTTTTCAGAAAAAACCCACCATGTCTACTTATGTGAGAATCCAGAAACAAAAAGCAATCCTATGGCTTATTGTACCATTTGTATTCATATTTACTTTCCTGAGACCAAGTTTCTACAGTGCAGTAATGGGCATTTTCAGATGACCTCAATAACCCAAGGGAAAAGAAAAGCCAATATCTAGTTTGAAGATGATATAAGGCACTGCTTATTATACAATATCTGTGTCCCCATGATATAGTTCTTTATATAGTTCTTTATTTTAAGGTCATGACACTCCCTTCTATCTTAATATTGTGCTTTAAAACAATGGTTCTCAAATTTTGCAGCATATTAGAATCACCTGGGGAGTTTTAAAAACTTCTGATGCCTGGGCTGTACCCTAGTGTAATTAAATTGGAATCTCTACAGTAGGATCTACACATCTTTTTTCTTTTTTCTTAACTCTCCCTGTAGTCCCATTGGGTAGCTAAGGGTGGGAACCAGTAATCCAAGGACACAGATAATACATTTAACTAGTTCTCAGGAAATTATTCTCTCTTACCTCTAGCTGGGACTTTATCCTTACTAACAGTTCCCAGATATGGTGCTTGAGGGAGGCAACAGCATGGGCAGTGGTTATTGCACAGTGGATTTTATTCTTTACAAAGAACATTTTTAAAATAATAAAAAAACCCTTCTGATGTTAATTCTCAGATTTTAAAAAATTTATTAATTCATTGCTAAATTTCACTGTTTTTAATATATACTTTAACAACCATCTGATGGAGGGGATAGTAAAGGGAAGGAAAATGAAAACATAAATTGTACATATTAATGTAAGTGCACATGAAAGAGTAAAAAGTATCTGCCTTCATAAAGGAAAATCTTAGTAAAACTTAGTATCATTGTTGTTATTGATTTATAAAAACCCCTAAGTACCTGAAGTATATTAGTCCGTGTTGTTACTATAATTAAATACCTGAGGCAGGCTAAATTTATAAAGAAAAGAGGCATATTTTGCACACAGTTCTGGAGTTTTACAGGCTTGGCACCAGCATCCGTTCAGCTCCAGTGCAGGTTTCATGTGGGAGCTGCTCCAATTTGGATCTTGAATGTCCCTCAAAGGCTCATGGTTTTTTTATAAAATGGAGTACTACTCAGCCACAAAAAATGAGAAATTAGAGACATTTATAGCTAAGTGGATGCACATTGAGGCAATACTCTTAAGGGAAATAAATAGGACACACATGTATAAATACCAAGTAGTTTCTCTGGTGTGAGAAACTGAAAGTGTAAATAAGGACTAAAATGTATAATAGGTAATGTGAAATAGGAAGATAAGGGGCAAAGGGGAAGGAAGTGGGAGGGGTAGGGGAAAGGATAGAAGGGAATAGGATTAATATGAGAAAATGGAAAAATAGGAAAAAATCTTTGTAAATAGGGAGGAATGGAGGGGTTGAAGGGAGAGCAGGGGAAGGGGGAAAAATAAGAACCAAGAGAGACTATGTAAAGGTGCAAATTTCCAATGATGAATGTCATTGTATTGTATACCTAAAATGTAGCAATGATTAGAATGAATAATCGATAACGTAAAATAGGAAGAAAAGGTCCAAAGGGGTAGGGGTAGTGGGAAGGGCAAGGGAAAAGAAAAAAAGGAAAAGAAAAAATGCTGAGAAATGGAAAAAACGGAAATAAAGTCTTTGTAAATAGGGAAGGGTGGAGGAGGTGAAGGGAGGGCTAGGAATGGGGAAAAAATAAGAACCAAGATGCACCATGTAAAAGTACAAGTTCCCAATAAGAAATGTAATTGTGTTGTATACCTAAAATATACCAATAAAAGAATTTAAGAGAAAAAAAAAAGGCCCATAGGCTAAATGTGTGGCCCCTAGTGTAGTGCTGTGAGAGATGGTGGATCTTTTAAGAGGTGGGGCCTGGTAGGAGGCTTTTAGGTCATGGGGGAGGGGGACCCTAGCCTTCCCCTTGTTCTCTTTTGCTTCCTGGTCATGAGGTGAGAGACTGTGCACGATAACATATGACTGCCACAATGTGCTGCCTTGTCACAGAGCAATGAGGTCAACTGATCATGGATTGGAACTCCCAAAACTGTGAACCAAAATAAAACTTTCCTCTTTGGAAGTTGGTTACTTCAGGTATTTCGGGATAGTGATGGAAAGCTACTTAACACAGTACACATACAAGAAGGAGATCAAATCAGCAAACAGGAAGCCAGAGAGACTGAGATCATGCATTCCCTTCTAAGAGCCACCTCCACCATGACCTGAGGACCTCTCACCAAGCCCCACCTCCTAGAAGCCCCATCACCTTTCACACTACCATGGTGGGGAGCAGATGAGCCCCTAGGGCCTAGAAAACATCACAAATATGAGAAGAGCACCCAGACTGGAGTTCTGTTTAGTTTTATAAGGCTAAAATACAAGACAAAGCACAAGGCTTCTGTGCCTACTTTAGAAAAGTGGTCCTCAGTTTAGGTCCACATTAGAACCATCCAATGAGCTATGAAAAATCAGGACGCCCTTGCTGCATCGCAGACCAACTACATCAGAATCCTGGGTGTGAAGCCAAGGCTGTTACAACTTTTCCAGGTGTTCCAATATTCAGGGAAGAATGAGAATAACTTCTTTGGAGGAGAAGAATACTGTAGGTACTGATTTTTTTTTTCCAGTGCTGAGGTGGAACCTTGGGCCTAATGCATGCTAGGCAAGTGCTTTATCCCTAGTCCTACCTGAATTCTTAATTTCTATTTATTGTCTTCATAGAAACAAACAGAAAAGTTGCACCAGGAAGAAAAGGAAGGAAACAAGGGAGAGGAGGTCTCCTTGCTCCACAGCAGAAAGGGTTCAGCTTGCATGGCCCACTCCTGCCTGCTTCATACAAGGCTGGTATCTACCTTGAACTTTGTGGTCATGGTCATCCTGCAGGATCGCAATGGCAACCGTGTGGTTATTCTCCATCTCCAGGAATGCAGCCTCATGGCTGGTGGTGATATCTTCAACCTGAGGAGAGTCACAGTTACTGGTCATCCAGAGAACTAGGAAGTTGTTGTCAGCAACTTGACAACAACTGCTTGCTGCTTGGAGAAAAGAGGTGTAATTCAATGAGAAGAAAAAGTCAGTGGTCCTGAATGGGAAGGACAAGTGATGGCCACCCTGAGCCTGGTACCAAAGCAGAGTCACGATCTGCTAGTGATGTGGCAGTCTCTGTGAGAGAGGAGACCACCCTACCATATGGAATTGGTCAACTTTGGGTTAACTGTATTATTAGGCAACTATGGGTTATGTAGGTAACTGTGTTCTTTGAAGAATGTACCTGAGTAGCCATGTCAATTTCTGTAATCTGTCACCAAAGGAGAATAACGGGCTCAGAAAATCCTGCCAGAATCCTGCTCTGCTTTGTGTAAATCCTGTTTGCTATATTCCTAGGGAAATGCCAATGAAAGTAAGCCTCATAGATGTAAAAAGAGGTAATAAAAAAGAACAAACTTCTATTCGGCGCTCTCAATCCTGACAGGAATCACTTCCTGAGCCGCCAGCATTAAAAGCTGCTTTGTGCTCCTATCTTCATGTTAAGAGTGGTATGTCCTGGGTCCTCATAGTTTTCTGCTTCATCTGGAGTTATGGGAAAGTCTCTATCCACGTTTGGCTTTCCAGGCCACCTCTTAGAGCCCTGGCCTGGCTGCTGGACCATCCCATCTTTCTTCCCATTCCCATTCCTTCCTCTTACAGCAGTCACTCTACGAGGTAATGATGAAGAAGGGAAAGAAAAGGGTCCTCCCAATGAAATGGTCTATTCTCTGTTTTCCAGTGTCAGGTGGGAGTATACTATACCAGGTAAATGAAGGGTCTAAAAATTACTAGGCTCCCTACTATTAGCTACTCAATCCTTTGAATATCTTCATGAAGTAAATATTTTATGCCCAATTTAGATATGAGGAAACTGAGGCTTATAGAAGTTTAAAATGTTTACCCAAGGTTGAGTAAATAGCAGAGCTGGCAATGGTCCCCAGATTTGTCTGATTCCAAAGGTGAAGCTCTAGCAAACACACCACTGTGCTCCCCACCCAGCCTCCATCAAGAAAAGGTCAGTAACATTTCCGCATCCTCTCACCCATACCTGAGTGAGGCTGGGAGATGTGCACGTGCCCACTGCACCAGATTCCTAAGCATAAACCTGCCCTTAGACTTGCCTTTGGACTTCTTTCCTGCCCAGATAATTTAGAGTTGCTCCTGTGAAGGGCCACTGATTCCCCGGCTGAGGGTACATTTCAGGAGTTTCATCACAACTGGCACAGCCAGTCCTGGGCTTTTTATTTTGATACTTCTTGATTCCTCTACCTACAATCCCTCAAGCCCCTCTTGACTATCATATTTATTCTTTTTGTTACTGTGGCTACTGTGTTGCTTAATTTCAAATGTATGATGCTTGGAAGTAATTGCATAAAACAACCTCTCACTATAGCCAACCTCTCTTGGATATAGCACACGAACAGTGTTTATCCCAATTCTTGGTCAATGATCCACTGTAAAATATTCCATTGTACATTGTAACACAGTAAATATACATACAAACATGCACTCACACCTCCACATCTGAAACTCCAGTTTCACAGAAATACTTCTCCTTTTCACTTGTCATAATCTGGTTTTACACTTTTTAAAATTTTACTTTATCTTACATAATGCTAGTGACCATCTACTAAATTTATTCCACAACCTATAAATGTGTCAAAATCTGACATTTGAAAAACACAGATCTAGACAGTGGACCCAGGTCCTAAAGCTATTTGGTGGACTAGTTAGAAACATGTTGCCTAGCTAGTAATATTCAGATACTTCTAAGAGTACCTCATTGCTTTGGGGATGATTTGCATGATTTCTTCTGTGATCTAGAGTGAAGAGGGGCTCTCTCGAAGGGCTCATCAATACATGGAGGTATTTTTACTTTACAATAGGTACATTTCCATTCTGGATGGTACAATTTTATGGGTAAATCTGCCTGGCTTCTCTCTCTTAGAATGAGATCTTCATTTTCTAAAATAGGAGAAACATTGGATAAAACCCAAACAGAGCCCACAACATTACTCAGGACAGTGTAAAATGGATTGGTATGCAGTGATTCACTTTTACTTGACATTCTTGATTAAACATTTTACTTGAGGTTCAGAGTTATGAATCCACTCAGCAGAAAGGCTCATTACAGCACTATTTAACTGTTCAATTCCCTTTATATGAGGTTTTAATGGAATCTTTGTCCAAAGCCTTTCATCTGTTGGAAAAATAAATCACTATTTTAAAAAAGGAAAAGGAAATATCCTTTTTTCTGCTTCATTACTGATGTCAGTTAAACACAAGCATACATGTTTAGAAACAAGTACCCTCATGCTGTCTGAAGTTATGTTACACAGATCAGTATAGCAAAACACCTTTCATCAGTCCTTGGCATGATTCTAATTTATTAGGCTCTTACATAACTACCATGGGAGGGTTCAGGAAAGAGAAACAGATGGAAGGGCTAAGTCACAGAAAGGTCCCTGGAGGTGTAAGATGCCCTGAGTGGTAATACTACATAGTGTGTTTGTGGCTGACATGTATGCTTTTCTAGTTTGTTGGAAGACATTTTTGGATTTAGTGGTGATGGAATTCCACATTCAATATATTAAGGAAGATGTAAGGGCATGATATATCTACCACAGCCTCTAGGAAGTGTGTTTATTAATGAAATATTGACCTTCTAACTAAAAAACTCCACACAGAATTAGAGGAATGACCAGTATGTTTGGCAGGAACCCAAAGAAAGCACGAGCCAAAAGTTGGACATAATCATCCTTGTTCTTCAGTAATTCAGGTTTCAAGCCTCTTTGTGTTTTTAAAAAATGTTCCCTCAGTGAGGAAGGGATGCAGTCTCCTATGGGCTATCCTCTTTCTTGTTATAGTATTAATCCCCATGACTTCTCCTATGGGTCCTGGCTTCTTCCTGGAGCACAGGCTTACGATTATGAAGCAGACAGTAAGAATCCCCAGCCCGAGAAGACCTCAGAGCTTTCTGAGGCCACTTGAACAGATTTAGGCAATGTGGCCCAAGGGAAACACAGGATGATTTTATGCACTGTAGATTATGAAATCAGAAACAGAACTGTCAAGCTCTTGAGAGCTTATGCTGGCTGAAACATCCTCTCCTTCTGTTGGAAACCTGTGTACGGCCCCCTTGAAGTACTGCTGGTCCACTCTCCACCTTCCTGCACTAAGTCAGAGTTTTGGGCTGTGCTGTGGAGGAGTCTGTGAGTTTGCCCATAACACAGCCCCAGTGGTTGGGAAAACAGCAATTCCCCTGACTTCATTCCTGCTGCTGCTTGCTATTTAGCTGGGCTGGTTTCAGCAGTGGAAAACCATCCCCCCAGATGGGGAAGAACAGAGCTGTGGGCTTTACTCCATTCAGCCATTTGCAAAATGCAATTATCTGGGGCTTTGGTAATCCACTTAGAGAAGACTTACATTTCAAATGAAGAAGCATGTGTTCTATACCGTCTTGGCTTCTCTCATTAAACCCAAACCAGCTTAAACTCTCATTCGCCCCCATCTCAGATATGTATCTATAATAGATGATACACAGGGATCTGGCTCATCCTTACTGCCTCCTAATGCCTTTCCTTTCCCAATAACTAGGAAACCCTCCTTCACTTCTTCACTGCTACAGTGTCCAGATGGTTAGCCACTTCAGAGCTCTTGGGTCAACTCTGTCACGTTACGAAATTATCTTTGCCCTCTCTGCAGCCCACCACAAGGGTGGGTGTCAACAGAGGCCCCTGTGCCCTGCATGACCTCCTCCCAGCATAAGAAGCTCTGGCGGGTGAGGGCTCTTGGGATCTGATTCTATTTGATTAAAGAGAATGTAGTTTCCGCTGTGTGACAGCTGGGAGCCTGCAGGACAGGCAGGTTAAGGAGACATAATGCAGAATGATAGACTAAGTGGTCTCTGTGCATTCAGACTAATTGTGGAGCTGCTATTCCTGCCTTTTGGTCTAAACAGAGGATTTCTTTAAGAAAGGGTAGGAAGAATGTCCTGGGTCTGAGAAAAAGCAAAAAATAAATTCCAAAGGATGAGCATCTCTCCAAGGGCAGGAATCTCTGCTCAGACTCCAGGGGAAGAATCCATCATGTATCCAGGAATGTGAGGTCCGGGCAACTGACTTCAGGGCAGATGGTGGAAGAAACAAACTTCTTTGGTCTTGGAGGTGTGGGGATAAAGTTCACAGGCCTAACCCTTGAATACCAGGCTCTGTAGCTACATATATTTGGGAAATAATCAAAGACAGTGAAGAAAGGAGGATGGGAAGCTGGGCTGAGAGGCAACAACATTTGGAGCAAGAAAAGAGAAGCACACTTGTTTATGGTGAAGATCTGTTTTGTGTGCTTTCATTATGGGTAAGTGTGGAATCTAGCATCTGTAGATCGCTAAAAAATGAGAGCTGATTTTGATTAAATACTTTGATCATCATAATTTTAAGAGAAGCCTTCTATCATATCTGTAAACTAACTTAAGGGCAAGATGAAAGCTCATCCTCTTACCCATCCTCCCCAACTGTCCAAGCCCCCCGTACATAGCACCCGCTGGGCTGAGGAACCAGGTCCTGCACCTCCCTGGACACACGTAGGCTGCATGCTGGAATCTCACTGGGAGCTCCGAGTAACAGCCCTTCTAGGCACAGTGGCACATGCTTACAACCCAGAACTTGTGAGGCTGAGGCAGGAGGATCTGAGTTCAAGGCCACTCTGGGTGTCATAGAGAGAACCCTGTTACAAAACACCCACACAAAAAAACTACTTTTGTGGAGTGTGGTTCAGTGGCAGAGCACTTGCCTAGCTTTTGCAAGTGCCTGGGCTCAATTTCAAGTACCACAAAATAAGTAAATAAATACATAAAAATATAAAAGTCCCATGGTAGGCTCCACTCAGCAATTCTCATTCAATCAGTGTGGGTGTTCTGTTGTGTCATTCCACCAATTGATTCCCACAGGTTCCTAAAGCAGAGACCCTTGAGGTAGTGGACAGTTAGGCAAGATGAAGGACTTGGATGAATTTGTTCCCAGAAATATCCTACAGGGAAGCCAGAGGTCACCCTGTTTTGCAAGCAACTCCCAGTTTGAGTGAAGGCTGTTACCTAAACCCCCAAAGGATCCTCTGTGTCAGAACCGAAGCAGCCCTCACGCCATGCTGCTGGCTGTAGGGGGTCAGGTCATGAGGAGAGGCCAGACAGACAGTGATGCCACTAACTGTGGGGTTAGCCCTGCCAAAGTGACTGTCCATGAGAAGGAAGACCCAGGGCTGGAGATTGCAGGCTGGAGTAACTGAAACCACAGATGATTGGATCTCCACTTCACTTTCCACTTCAGTCTCCTCTCTCCCAGACCAATGGGCATCTACAGCACCTGGCACTCAGAGTCCTGGGCAGATGTGTATTTCCTCATCTTCCTCATATCCTACATGCTGTACTGTAGAAGTGGAAGGTTAAGGAATCTGCAAACACTTGACAGCAGGAGTAGAACCAGGTTCCTGAATCCACCAGAGATTTGAGTGGCTGGTCCTCCAAACCACTGGGCTGCTACTGGAAGGAAGATCCACTCAACTGCAAAGCATTCAGATGCTGCTTCCACCACAGCACCTTCTCCTATACTCACAGGTGAAAGTTGACTCAATTTCTGAACACATATCTGTATTTCTCACCCCAGGTTATAGTTCCCTGAACTTCTTCAATGAAATAAGCAAGCCCACATTTTATAAATCTTGGTATCTCCTGTAGTACCCTGTCACAGTGAGCTTTCAATATGTATTCTTTGCACAGGGGAATGAATAAATAAATAGATGGTTTTAATGACCATAAAGGACCAAGAAGAACAGAACTTGGTGCCCTCATAAGACTGAGTGCTTTTAAAACATACATAGGTAGTTAATGGAATTCATACCCATGTGAAGAAGTCAAGGGATTTTTTCCCTTTCCAATCCCTCTGAGTTTGAAATCTGCAATAGACTGTTGTGTCCCAGCTTAGCTAAGAGGCAAGAGCACACCTCCCAGCCTGTTCCTATCTCTGCTATCACAAAACATGCAGATGATAATGTGTCTCTGAACACAGAAGGCTTGGTGAGGCCTGCCCAGGAACTGTGCCCCACTAAGTGGCAGGTCCCCTCGACAGTGGCCCTGGAAATGTGGCATCACTCTGTGAACCTTCATCCAGGGGCTCTTCCCCTACCTGCTGCACACCTCCTGCTCACCTCCCACTCCTGGCATTTTCTTTGCTGGCCCAGACATGTGGACTGAAAGTCTTTGATAAAGGTTATAGACATGTTTTCTGTGTAATACTGGAGATGAATAGTTCAAGAATACAGAGGCATAGGGCAAGGTGATATTTGCACCAGGTCTGAGACCCTGAAAGAAGTCAGACGACACTGCAGCAGGTGCTAATGTCCAAAGCCAGGGGTTACTCTTAGAAAGCTTGTGAGATGAGATGCTTGGGCTTTCATTTCTATTCTTAACATCAGCAGGTAATTTTAGTTGTGATTCCTTCTACGTCCTAGTTGGCAAGTCTGAGCTACCTCAAGCAGACAGGTGCATCTGCTTTTTATCAGCCTCTAGAATGGGATGATGACCAACCTGAGGTGCTTGCTGTGTAAGGTAAACTGTAGTAAAAAAGAGGCTCTTTGTTACTATAATTGTACTTATTATTAGTCCGAAATGTGTCCCATGTGCCTCAGGATTCACAAGCCTCTGGGGCAGGGGGGAGGTGATGCTGGTACTGCCACCTGGGATAGCTATTTGGAAGCAGCCTAAGGAGGTCAACCCATAGGTTGGTGATAATGAAGGGTGAGTGTCAGCTGAGATTTAAAGAGCACTACTCATCAATGGTAATTTACCCTGAACACAGGAAGACTATAAAATAACATACCAGTTAGAAGGAGGGGACCCAGGCATCTGAGCTTGGGCATTTAGAAAGAAGAGAAATGCAAGGAGCAGAGTTTATGGAAGCAGGCTGGTTTGTTCTGCCTGTCTCTCATCAGCACTTATAGAAGTAATAGGCACCAGTAGCTGGCTGTGGGGTGGGCACATCTGGCTCCTATCCACTTTTACCCTAACAGACCCCATGGGAATTATTCCCTCATTATTCCTTGGGTGAATTTCTCTGCCCAGAAAGGTTGCTGGGCTAAGGTTAACAATCAGCATTCATTATTTCATTCAACAAATATGTGTTTTGTGCCTCACTTCCACAGGCACAGTTCCAGGGAGGAAGATGCACAGGAAGTTTGGCAGAAAATTCTAAGTCAGTGCTTGAGACTGAATTCCATCATGGCTTTTCCATAAACAGCTCCGTGAATTCTTATTTAACCCTATGGACTCAGTTTTCTCACCTGTAAAATGGGGATACGGATGGTACCTACCCAGTAGGGTGATTATGAGGATTCAGTAAGTCAATGTATATACAGTTGAAAGCAGTGCCTGGTGCAGAAGCAGGGCTAAGTACGAGTTTGCCTGTTATCATCTCTGCTCCCATAGAATATGCAGGTAAGAAGCAAACTTTATGTTAGTCATAAGTGCCAAAGAAACACTAAAGCAGGAAAGGGGACAGGAAGTGTGTGCATTTCAAAGGGGAAGGAAGTATAATTTCAGATGAGAAAAGACCTCACTGAGAAATGACGAGAAAATGATGTTGGAGAAAAGCCAGGAAAGATGAGAGAGTGGAAGCCGTACAGTGTTTAGAGGGAGAGGATTCCAGGCAGAGCAAATGTAAAAGCACTGAGAAAGAGCTAGGGAGGCCAGAGCAGCTGGAAGAGAAGCAGAGAGGGTCAGAGGGAAAAGGTGAAGTCAGAGTGCGATCTTGACCAGAAGCTCACCCACTGAACAGGATAGGTTCCCTGCTCAAGTGCCACCTGTCTCACCCAATAGCAGAGCCCATGCCCGTGCCACAGACCGACCTGTTCCTGGTGCTGGCACCGAATCCGCAGCAGCTGACCGTGGTGCTCCTCCTGCAGGCGGGCCATCTCCGCCTCAAACTGTAGCTGTAGCCGCTCTTGTAGCTCCTGGAGTTCGGCCTGCTGCTGCCAGCCCATCCTCCTCAGCTCCTCCTCAAACCGCCGCTCCAGGTCCTCCTTCTCCTTCTGCAGCTTCTCACACTTGGCTGTGTTGAAGGCTGGGAGACAGCACAAGAGCTTATAAACACACTGGGAAGGGGCATGGGAAGGACTCCACCCAGGCAGCATGCTAACATCCAAAGTCCTTCTGGTGAAGAGCATTTAATACTCATAAGGGACCCTGGATGCTGAGGTAAGACTGGAGCCCATGGAGCTCCAGAGACTTGCCCAGGAGATGAAGTAGCTGGGAAGGCACATGTAGGCTTTCTGACCACTAAGCCCTCGCACCTGCCCATACAGAAGCTTCTCAGATGGTCCACGGACCACAGGCATCAAAAATGCAGACTCCCAGGTGCACCTTGGGAGAAGCAGAACCCCTGGTCCAGAAGCCCAGGACCTAAACTTCTAAGGACAATGGGTGACTGTTACATTCTTTAGGCTTTGATGGCTGTGAATTCATGCATGGAACTGGAGACAGGGTTAGGGACCCACACCCAAAGCTCTTTTCTCCTGGCTGAAAAGCCACATGGGACATTCCCAGGGAAGGCATGAGGCACCCTTTCAGGTGACCTGAAGCTTTACTGACACCATTCTCAGGGTAATCTGTTCTCCACCAGCTTGTTCAGGGGGTGCAGAAGGACAATGAGTCACCTGTTACCCCTTGGCATAGGTATTTGGCCCTACCACTCAGTCATAGTTTCATCAAGTGTGCACACAGCCAGGACACAAGACAAAGACAGCAGCCACCTCTGCTTCCATGCTCAGCTCCTCCTATAGGCCTGCTCTGTGTTTGTTCCCCAACTCGCTCCACACTAAGAGCTAGAGTGGAGTATTCTCATCTTAAAGATCTCTTTCTGGACTCAACCCTGCTTCCAAGAAGGGGGAAAACACTAGACAAAGGTGCACATACACAGCATTTTGACTTCACAAAGATCAAGTGCCCATGCTTTCTGCTCTATAGTACAAACTAGGGAGACACTGTCATTTACTTTAAAATAAAGCAAGCACATATATGTGCTAGTTAACTATAATCTACACTTGGGGGTGATGGCTCTGATCAGGAAAATACATCCCAGTCATTGGATAGCATTTGGAACACCCTAATTAGAAGTACCTGCCCTGTAGAAGCAGCTAATGCAAGGACTTCTTTGTCACATTCTGCTCTAACAGAGCTTAGTTAGCAGGAGAGATAGTACAAGAAAATCCTCCCCTGGTGAAATGTATGGTGGATTGGCTAGATTTTGTACTAGCACCTTACCTTTGTGTGAACAGTATGTAAGAAGCTCTCTGGCTCAGCAGCCCAACGCTGTTTCCAAAGGTTCTCTTAGCTCAGGGCTTCAGGGTGCCCAGTGTCCTGTGTCCCACCATTTACTTGGGGATCCTGATCTGCCAGTGTAATCAGGGTCTGTTGAGGTCTACCACTCATGTCTACTCCACATGTGGGTAATAAGGGGGTGCCCTATGAAGTATTTAAAAGCAAAACCCACACCAACTTATTACTACCTATTGCCAAAAATTTCAAACAATATTGTGAAAAAATGCTCCCCTCTAAAAAAGCTTTTTTTTAGTTTACATTCTCAACAATTTCTACAATTACTGTGGAGTTTTTAAAAAATAATCTTTGTGCTGAAATAAAAACCTCAGGGTTTGGAGTGAAGTTCATGGGTAGAGCACTTGCCTGGCATGCATAAGGCCCTAGGATTGATCACCAATACCACAAAAATAATACATAAAAATAAAATTATAAACATATAAAATTTGGAAGTACAGTCCAAAAATATTATTGTAAAAGAATAAGATGCTGACCTGCCATTCCATCAACCTCGAATTCCATAATATATATTCTCTACAAACACAAACATTTCTCCTACTAAGTACAAGACAGTTATCAAAGGGAAGAAATAAACATTGATACCATAGTGCCATCCCATGCTCAGGTTTGTTTAAGTTTCATCAATTGTTCCAGTAATGTCCTTTCTAGAAAATGGATCCAGTTCTGAATCACAAATTTCCTCCAGTTGTCCTGTTTCCTTTGTCTTCTTCCATGTGAGACATTTCCTCAGTATCTCTTTAGTTTTTAGGACCTTGATACTTTTGAAGGCCTGGTATTTTGTAGAATGTCTCTCAATTTATTATGTCTGATGATTTCTCCTTAATAAATCCTGATCATGCATGTTTGGCAGGAATATCACAGAACTGGCACTATGTTCTTTTTTGGGGGGGGGTATTGGGGATCAAACTTGGGACCTAGTGCTTGCGAGGCAGGCAGCAGAACCACTGAGCTAAATCCCTTGCCCCACCATGTTCTTTTTGATAAAACTAATCATAAATTTGAACAACATCTTTAAAATGTAAATTTCTCCTTTTTCTAATTGGTTAGTGAATCAGGAAAATAAGGCATATTACTGCTTTTTGATTCATGGTGATACTAAAAATAGTTTTGTGGCACACAGAAGGGATATTAAAAATACTCCATTCTAGGCGTCAAATACATCGGGTATGACCCATAGGTATCTTTATTATCATCACACCCGCTTCTGGGGAGGCACTGAGCTTATGACCACAGGTAGTAAGACAGCATTTGGTCACTTGCTGATAAAAGGCCGGCTTGATCAGAATTTTGTGGTACCTGGTAGTGAAGTTGTGGACCCCTGGGGTCCTCTCCTACCTCTCATCCCTTGTGGCTCTGGTCCCTCCCAAAGGGACTCAGTTAACAAACAGGGTTGGGCAAAATTGGTCCAGGTCTGGTGGCATGAGGGAGGAAATTCCTGTTTCCAGTTCTTGGGCTCCTGGTTCCCGCTTCTCCCAAGATCCTCCTACTAAGGAAAGTTATCAGGAATTTTACCAGAGAATTGGGCTAGTGAAAAAAGTGACCAGGATCCACAGACTGGTAAGAGGTGTACACCTCTTTATCTTGGGCCGATGGGACTTTAATGGCACAAAGGCCATGGACTGTCAATAAAACATAATAATTGGCGGAGCTGACTGCAGTGGCACACACCTGTAATCCCAGCACTTTGGGAGGCTGAGCCAGTAGGGTTACAAATTCAAGTCCCACCAGGTCAACTTAAAAAGACTCTGTCTCAAAATAAAAAAATAAAGGGGTCCAGGAATGTAGTTCAGCAGCAGAGTACCTGTGGGTTTGACCCCCAGTACCACACACATTAAAAAACTGATGGATTATACAGAGGCTAATTGAAGCAAATAGATGAGCAAGTATTATGTCTGCATTGGGGAAAAGCACAGTCACCCTACAAATGCATGAACCCCTCTACTCTCAACAGGGGCAGCCCTAGGTATGGAAACCCCAGGATATCTGAGTACATGTGGGTCTATGGGAGGGCCCTTTAGATTTCTGTAATTCAGAAAATACTAACCTTATAGTGGCCTTTGCCCCATGTGTCACGTACTAGTGGATTGACTAAAATAAAGCCACAACACTGACAAGCTTGCTTGTATTGAGAATAAATCTACAAAGAAATTCACAGAGAAAACACACAAATGGCTAAGAAAATATGAAAAGAGGGTTGGTGCCACTCACGATTAAATATATGAAAAGCAGAGTGAGAAATAACTTACCATCTATAAAGCTGGTAAAGATGAGATATTCTGATACACACAAATGGTATGAGGAAACTATCACCATGGGCCGGTGACAGAGATGTAATTGACAGAGGTGCCTCACAGGGCAAAGACCTTTTTCACAATTTAAATGACAGACATGGGAACATTTAGGAAATGTCTGGGTTTCCTTTTGGAGTGAGGAAAATGTTCTAAAATAGACGCGACATTAGTTCCACAACTTGTGAATATACTGAATTGTATACTTTAAATGAGTGAATTGTATGGTATGAGAATTATATTTCAATAAAAAAGAAAGAAAAATGAAAGTAAAGAAAAAATGACAGAAGATATATCAGAGGACAAATTTAGATGTTTCATAGGAGGGAAATCCATATTCATATTTTAAAACTCTATATAATAAAGAAGATATATGGTTGCAAAATAAAACAAAAGAGAAAACCTAGCCGCTACACCTGCATATATAAACACACACATATGGACATATGGATATATGTAGAACCTAAGAATAATAATTCTTTTGTGTGTGTGTGCATGCACGTGCTACCAGAGATTGAACTCAGGGATCACTGAGCCACATTCTCAGCCCTTTTAATTTTATTTTGAGAGAAGGTCTTGCAACGTCCAGTCTGGCCTCCCAACACACTCTGACCTCAGCCTCCTAAAGAGCTGAGATTTTAGGCATGTGGGACCACAACCAGCAATTTTTCCTGTTTCTTAACTACAGATATATTGAAGACATACAACTGAAATGAAAATAATAAAAAATGCTAATCATTTATCTTGGCTTTGCAAAGTTATATTTTGTATGGGAAAAGTTGTCATATACTACTATCAGTATCTTTGACTCCAGAAAATTAAGGCAGTAAGTTGACTTTAATGATTATATAAGTGGAATAAGACAGACAAAATGGTAAAGAAATGAATGAAAACAAATCAGTTATATTGGTGAAAAAATAAATGACACTTTTTAACATGACTGTTTCACAAATGCACAAAAGTCATAGTTAAGGATGACCATTATAGCACAACTAGCGTCAGGAAAAAGAGTAGGGGGCTGGTTAAATAAATGATGATAAATTAATATACATGTAGGATAAATCTTATATACAATGAGACATAAGTAGTCTGTAAAAGATAAACTAAATCTTTTTGCAGTGTCATGGAATGATATTTGTAATATACTGTTGAACCAAAAAGGGTCAAGATACAGAAATAGTATGATTGCCTAATTCTATTTGTAATAAAATGTGTCTATATCTCTACCCATCCATTAAGAGACCATGTTATGATCACTGCACATCGAACACCTAGAATAATATGTACGTAATAAAATCCTATTTTCATACTCTATGAATAAAGGGATTTTTTTAAAACTAGTATCATAATTAAGGAGAATACTGGGTTTTGAAAGGTTATAGTATTCAGCAGGCAGACTTTTTTGTTTTCCATGCAGTTGTATTCATGTTAGTTTCAG